GATTTCTCTACTTTTCACAGGCACTGAGGCACTGGGTTATATCATGAATTGTTTAGTTAGGAGGAGAAAACCTCTGTGGATGGTATTCTCATGTATGAATACTCCAAAGTAGCATTATATAATGTCATGGCTGGTTAATTTTTATGTTTGAGTTGTAATTGTAAAATTATGCAAACAGAATAATTTTGTAGTTTAAACTGCTATTCCTGTATAGCTTTATTACAGGGACAAGTCGCTGCAGCTCAGAAAACCCAATGATTTACTGATATCTTTACAGTGAGGGTATAGATAAGACACTGATGCTAAGTTTCAGACTTCAACACTTTCATGTTCTGTTAATAAATAGCACTTTTGAATGTGGTCATTGGAGTGTGAGAGATTGTTCTTCATTCTCTCTGTGCCATCATTTGCAGATTGCTTAATAGCAAAAATAAGTGTTATGTAAACATTAAGGTTTCCTTTTAAGCAGCAGAGCAATGTAAAAAAAGATAATAGTGAAAGGCTTTCATTTGTGTTTGTAGTCCTGTTAAGATCCTGTTTGATTGTCAGGTTAGATTTGCTGTAACATGCAGATTCTGTTCACCGCTTTTTAAGATTTACTGATATTTTAGTGTCATGAGGCTCGGCTAAGAAATCGGTTTTGTTGAAGAGAAAATATATTCTGATTGTACTTGCAGAATTAAAACTGGGTGGCTGATACTGTTACTCCTTATGGCCACTAGAGCCAGTGCTGTGATGGACATTGCCTGCAGGGCAATGGCACTGGATCTGCTCATGTATAAACTCCTAAACCATAGCAGCCTTCAGTCTGCATATTAACCAACCAGATGCCAGAGAGTGGTAGCAGACAGCAGTCTGATTTTAATCCCTGTTCACAAATGCTTCATGGATGGGGTATGTGTGCTGGTAGGTTAATGCACAGTGCCAGGAAACTGCCTGGTGTGTGCTGAGCTAAACTGACTGACCGTGTTGGAGTATGACGGTAAGTCTGAGGCAGCATGTCCTGCTTCTCAGCACCCTAGAAGAGAGGGTAGGCATGTTGTCTTGGAAGAGTGAGAAGCCATCAGCATGAGCCTCACCTGAATATCTGACACTGTGATCCGTGGCAGCTCTTATCCAAGGATAGCTTGGATTCAGTAGCAACTACCTGCTTGTATGAGTTAGTGCACTCACCTTGACCAAACTGGTCGTCATCAGCTGTTCCTTACAAGCTTGTGGAAGCAATAAGAGAATCAAGTCTTCAGTTTAGCACCCCGTAATTTTTACTGTGGGCACATGCTCAGCAGGATGTTGTAAAGATAGAAAGCTTTTCAGGAAGCAGTTTCAGCATATGGGCACTACAACTCATCTGTTTGCAAAAAAAGCAAACATGGTGACATACCAACTGGGGGATATTCTGCTGATTTAGGTATTTTTTTTCATCAGTAGCCAACAAAGAGAATTTGCAGCTGGCAAAACCAGCAGTTTATTCAACTGGTATGGATTTGGGTTTTTTCTCTCGTTTCTGTTTTCTGTGTTAAACTTCAAGAAATAAATTAATACTGGCATTGAGGCCAGTCCAAAACTTACATGGTATTTCAGTCTTACTTGGTTGACTTTGATTGTTTATGTAAGACACAAGTAATACGTGTTTGGTGTGGGACTGGGTTGGCAGGAGGATATAGATGTATTTTTAATTATCAAAGACTTTTTGTCATCCCAGATTTATATATCCAAAGACATTTTTCTTTCTTATACGGCTATTCATGTTTTCTATTGCTTGAGTTTATTTCCATACTAGCAAAATGAGAACAAATCAAAAGTCTTTTCATCTAAATCGTTTATTTCTACTGGACTGAAAAGGTATTGAATTGCTTATATGACAATCAGTACCTGACAGATGTTACATCTCTTTCTAATGCCCTTGATGCAATGTTTCTTAATGTAAAAAATAGTATAACAAAAGGAAAGAAAATCCAGGATTTTGCTTTACCTTCTTTTCTTGTTAAAGAAGGTGAAAAGTTGAATTATCACAGGTGAACTGAGATTACATCCTGCAACTAGAGAGAATGTAAAGAGAATTTAAAGAAACCTTTAAAAAAAGTCTTACATAGTATTATCAATTGCTATATAAAATAATTTAATATTTCAAATACTGTTTAAATAATTTATCTGTATTTAAAACTAACCTTCTAAAATCTTATGTTTGGAACTTTTATTGGCATCAACACTTAAATAATTCTTTTAAAATATTAAAAAGTCTTTTAAATAGTCAATGCAATTCAATATAAAAACAGAAAAAGTAATATACATTGTTCACACATTGTACATGACAGCTGAGCTCTAGAGTGAGCTTTTGAATTTGTCAGACAAGTCATAGCTTAGTTGTGGTGAATCACTTGCTTATCCTCTCTCTGGACTCTTAAGAATATAGCAGATCCTTGCCATCAATATGTAGTCTTTACTGTTGTATGCACATACTGTATTGAGTATTTAATTTCCATCTCTATGCCCAGAATTGTAAATATTTTCCTCAGCATTTAGATCAAAATATCGTTTAGTGCATACACAAATATATTTAAGATGCACAGAATTTGACAAGAAACATACCAACTTTGCTCAGCTCAGTTATAGGAAAATTTAACTCATAGATTCAAAATAACATAACCGAGAAGTAGTCGCTTGTATTTAAAATTTATAATAATCTTATTGTCAAATGTTTACAGGATTCACTTGTCCTCTTTGTGCATTTTCCTTAATCCTGCCAGCGGTAAAGGCAGTAGTGTAGGCTTGACGCTGGTGTCTTACAGCTACTTTGTCTAACACCTGGTATTTGCTGACGGCGTTACAAACTTTGACGGCGTTACAAACTCAGCATTACAGACTTTGCCAGGACTTCCACTAAAGGCCAAATACCAGTCTTCAGTTTTTAAGTGTAGACATGTCTGTCATTGATAATGAAGTTTACTGTCAAACTGTAAATTGCTTTCTCTGTCCATCTGTAAAGAACTCCTGTATTTAGCAAGATGACTTCTACAGATACTGTAAATGGATTCTGGTGGAAAGAGAGGTACTCTCATGCTTCCTATATTACATGCGCCATGTATTATGATTGCAGTAGTTGTGTCCCGTTGTAGAAGATAGTCCCCAAGATTCTTCATGTCTTCTCAAAAAAATTTTTCTCCAAGAGGACCCTGGAACTTTACTAAAGACTAAATGGACATTCTATGTAGCTACCTAGGGATACTTGCAGAAGGAAAAATACCAGTGCAAACCAACATTTGCATCAGGAAGCCTAGTCTAGAAACATTACTCAGAAGAGCAGCACATGCCACGTGGTATGTGTAGTTATTCACAGATGAACAAAACTCACATTTCAGATTTTGGACTTAGAGCTTCTTACACAATCTGCAAACGAGAAAGTATTTGCAGGAATTATTGCATGGCTAATTCTTAATAATTGTTCCTGAAAATAGAATGTCTTGACATATAACCTTGAGACACAGTTTCAAGGTAAGCTTTCAAGAATTTGAATGCTTTGCTCATGTCTTTGCTGTGTGAGATTACGAATGAACCTACAGGAAGACTGAATTCACAAACTGAGAAAGATCCTGTCTTCCTTTCACTCCTCCTGCCCTTTTCTCTGGGTGATGGGCTGTACCTGTGGTGACTCTAGGATTGGTTTACATGAAATTTGATTCTCCTGCTTTCAGGAGAGCAGACTCTGAGAAGGAGAGAATTGCCTAGGGAGAATAAGCATGTCAGTCACTTAAACTGGATTAAAATAGATAAACTGAGGCCTTGAGTTTATTTCACAGTAAAAACATGGTGCAACAACAGGCCTCCATTTCTGCTTCTGAAGACCTCAGTCAAGAAATCAGGATTCTGTAGGATAAAGCAAGCAGTCAATGCTAAAGTAATCCTCCCCCATATCTTTTGCCACTCATATCGCTGGTCAAGAATACTGGTGTGCCAGCAAGAGACTGATTCTCAGTTGTTTTGTACACATAGAGTTTCAGGTCCTGGTATTCTCAGCTCAGCCCTTTTCATTAAGACATCGAAGTCACGTGAAAATTGAGCATATTTTGATAGGAGAATTTCAGAATCAGAAATAACATAAAGTGATGAACTATTAGGTTTGCCTTTGCAAATGTCTGTCTAGATTTAAGAGAATTTGTATTTAAGTCTTCTTCACCTTTCCTTGGACGTATATGCTGTGTGTATATGTAAATATATATTTATACAGTTTATATCAGACCCAAGAAAGCTTTATTATTCATTAGTGCTCTTTGGATGATAAACCGAGCAGAAAAGATGCAGTTCTCTTGTAAAGACAAGCAGACGGTGACTCAACAGAAGGAGTTCTATAAAAGACTAAGCATACAACAGATCAAACATTTAATTTTTAAATTAAAACCTTAATCTCAGGATTTACTGGTTTCTTTCTGCTTTAGATTCTTTTATGCTTAAGCCTGTACAAGACAGAGTTACTCTTTCCACATTAGAATCTAGTTAACAGTAAAGATACAAGTCTGTTTTGTTGAGTTGGTTTTTTTTGACAAGCGAGTATAAAGACATGATAAATCCTTCATTTTCGTTTTATGGTTAAAAAGGTCATCAGTTGAAAGTTCTAGGGGAAGAAGGAAGAAGTAGTAAACACCACAAAAATTATTGTGAAGCCTGTTAAAGAATTCAGGCCAAACCTCTAGGTCAAATCCAGAAAGATGTAGAAAGACAAGTTATGTGGTGTATCTTAACTTCCAGGTTTCTGGTGTCTCAGACAAATTCAGATTCCTGTAAAGTCACAGATGCTCTATCTAAAATGCTTGGAGGGAATTATGGGTCTGACTGGTTATGAGTGAGTTGGAGAGCTACATATCACAAGTCAGTAAGAAGTAGTAACTGAAAAGCAACCATTTTTTCCCTTTTCTCTCTGCTGTTTGAGCTTCTATCTATTTGGATTTAATCCTCTCCTAAACATAAGTGTTTACAATCACTCGTTGAAATAGTTAAGATCGATCACCTTCTATTTTTTATAACAAAGTCTGGAAGAAGTGACATTTCTGGCATTGCCTACCTGTTATTTTGTAATAGCCAGTTCAAAAATGTGTAAGAGGCGGTGGTACAATACTCTGTCATTCTGAAAGGACTCGCAGCCACTTCGCATCTCCCACAGAAGAGTGCTCAGAGGAGGTGCGCAGAGGCAGCCCAGGGAGAAATTCTTGGCTTCCCTTCTGAAATGGTACCACTTTTCCGAAAGGAACTTGGGATCAAAGAGTGGGGCAAAAGAAAGTGGATAATGAGAAGCAGTATATTCATTAAAAACAAGCGATCAATCAAAAACACCTTCTTATTTGCTACATATCATACTTCAGGTGGTAGTTAGGAGTTAAGCAAAATCCTTAGACACAGCCTCTACAAAGTTTGGTGCTGACATTAAAATACCAATTGTACAAATGATTGTGAAGACTGAAAAAGCCATCAAGCAGAGCCGATCCACCACAGAGGCTGCAAACTTCCATTCATTGCAAATGGCTTCATCTTCATCCTGGTCTCTGAATCGGTTTGCAATATACCTGACCTCTTCCAAGATCTTGGCCAGATCTGGGTCACCTTCAGAGGGGTGGCCACTGTGCAGCATGTTTTCTTCATCTGTTGGTGAGCAGGTCATCCTCCCGCAGATCACCCCTGAATCAGTGGTAGGTGTGCAGTGAATCCCTTCCAGCCCCCTAAACCCAATGTAGAGCATATTCCCATTACTGGATTGCTGTCCACTCACAGTGTTCATCTCCACACTGGACAGGCTACATCGACGCTGTTTATGTTGACAGGCAGGACGCACTTTATCTTCCCCTGGTCTTTTCATCCTCAGAAACCAAGCACACCAGTTGAGGAGGATGATTCTTGTCTGCAAGAAAATTTTGAGAATAAGCACCTCTTCACACAGCCACTGTCTTTGGGCGCTATTGGCATTTCTGCAGCCCGGGTGACTGGTCGATGGCCTCTGCTTAGTCTGCATGGGAGTTCTAGAAAATGGTCCCAGAGTTTTCCAATTGATTAATTTGCCAGTCACTGAGGCTGCTTTCTTATTCTAGCAGTGCTGTTGATTGCCTCGGGCTGACTATCACTACTGGGAGTATGCCCTCCTCGGATGGCTGTCTGCATAGCGTTGATTTTTCCTTATGCTTCAACAGTGAGATACCAGCCTTTCCTAGCTTTACTAGAAACCATAAATTAAAAAAAAACTATAACTGAATAAGAGTTACTTTTTAATAATCTCCAATAGCGCTGCTTTAGACTGTAGTCAATAAATTACACTTCTTGCACTTCTATTTGTGCTCTAATATTAAAATCACATTACATTACTGGTTGGAGGGATCTGCTAAAACACAGACTGGACTGGACCAACATGCTTTACAGTGTTTTGGCTCTGTTCTCATGTTGCCTTCATGACAGTTGATTGCAGATTTTAGAAAACAGATCTGGATATAGCATGGAGAAAAGATGGAGAAAAAATACCTGGATTTAAAAAAAATACTTTGCAAACTTAATCAGTGCGTATGATTTCATTGGTTTCCACATTGCCTTAATCCAGCCTTACAGAAAGTGCAGGCAAGCCAGAGACTATTCCAGTTCAGATGTAATTTATTTCAATCAGATTTTAAGAGCTCATTGCGGTGGTTTGATTTGTTTTGTTTTGTTTTTTCCCCAGAGCACTAATGAAATATTATTGTCTCATATAATAGGTAAATCTTACACTGTAATTAATATTAGATTTGGTCCATTTATTTTGACTGTGGATTGCCACTCAGACAAGATATTATATCCAGGCAAACATCCCAATCAGAGACAGATCTTGCCCTGTTACTCTATTTACACTATCAAGCTTCACTAAGAAGGATAATATTCCATTAACTGAGAGCCTGACCCAAGATTCTGACCAAGATTTTTTGGACTTCAGCTTCTCAACACTAAAGCTTACTTCTCAACTTCAACTACTCTGTTTTCTGAGGATGTTTGACTCAGTACTAAACATTTGTCTGCTTTAGGTCATCAAACATATCTATGTTTGCTGCTGCCATGAGCTGGGTGAAGTCAGGAAGAGTGGACACTTAGCTGATGATACTCGCCAATATTTAGTAATCCAATATCACTGCACTGTTCTCTCTAAAAACAGCCACTTGTAGAAGTACATTATAAGGAAAGTCTCATGTGCCTAGAAAAAAACCTTGATTTTTTTCTCTACGCTTTACTATGTTCTTGACAAGAGATGTAAAGATGAGGATTTTCAGAGCAAGTTTCACTTCTGCTTTAACAGTCACCTTTAGAAAGTGCTTTTTAGGTTATTGATGTTTCTGTATGCACAGCAGCTAAATATGTAGCAGCTGCAGTTGCACCTTGAGGCCAGTGTATTTCATGCATTTATAATGTCCATAAGCACCTTACTCTTTCCTTCTACCTGTTGCACTTTTGACATCTACAGCTTATTTGAAAATCACTGATAGCAAAATTCTGAGGTGCTTCTAGCTGTTGTGAAGGTGATTCTGAATCTAGAAGCAAGTTGAGGTATATTCATTCTCTCTCTTGCACACACAGGCTTTCTAAGAAGCCAACCACACAAGAAGTATCTACACATCTCATTTCTGCTGAAACTACTTTTCAAAACAAAATGTTTAGGAAGGATTTATGTATTTAACAGTAAGTAGTAAACACGGATCACTAGCTATCGCATTTATCTGGACACATGCAATTGATAATGAATGAAAATCAAACCTTACCCATTTAGGCATTTTCCCCCCATCTGGATCATGATGATGGTATTGTAGAACAATAACAGTGACAACAACAGAAAGACCAACAATAATCATAGTGCTGGCAAAATACTGAGCTGCAAAATAAACAGACAATTACAGCAATATACTTTGGCTGATATTGCTTTGTAGCTATTGTACAGGGTGTTGATGTGTGTCCATACATACATGCATAGCGTTAAGTTCTTTTTCCAGTGTAGTGCTACGTGTGCTACTTTAGGTACTTGTGAAAGATTTCTCAAAAGTAGAAAGAGCAGCTGTTATTTTGGAGCTTTTAGTAATTGTCTTTGTGGAACTGAGCACCTGCCTTTTCTATGCAATGCTGAAAATAATTGTCCTCTAATGTTTTTTCACCCGTATTGTGGAGACTGACTAGTACTTCCTTTGCAAAGTTTCTCTTTCTGTTTAAGCAATTATAATGGAAAAATTTAGTCATGTTTAGCGTTGTATTCCTAATGTCTGGCCAATTGTGTTGAAGCTGCAGCAACAGCTTCCATGGAAAACTGACTCCCTTACGCTTTCCCAAAATAAAGAACCTATTTTGTTCAGAGCAGAGAGTATGGAAGTTGTATCACATCAATCAGAGCCTTTCATCAGTTTGCAACATTTTTCTAATTCAGTAGCAGTAGGCCATTGTATAGGTGGCAATTTGCCTCACTGCTGGCCTTGATGCAAAGTCACTGCACCTCATTTGACAAAAACTAAACATGAATAAAAGCTGTAGTTAGCTTACCGATTAAGGGCACAGAATCAGATGTTGCTGGCATAATTTCAGCCACAAGTAACATGAAGACAGTAAGAGACAATAAAACTGTTATACCTGAAAGATAAACATGAAGTTTGAAATTAGATCAGTAGCTTGTAACTACAAGGCAGTAAGAGGTGGAAAATGAATGGAGTGCTCTTTGCAAGATGCTTTCCCACTGTTATCCTCGCACTAGCACATTAGTGTTACTCCTATCCTTTCTCGTGCTACCTCAAGTTCAGGGTAGCAGTGCTCCCAAACTAGTACCAATGCTTGCACAGACACATATAATATTAGATCCTTGTAACTGCAGCTTTTATCACCATTTTCTAATTAGCTGAGGTACATCAAGGTAATTCTTTCTGCTTTGCTTTAGAAACGTAGTGTGATTCTGAGTATTTGAGCATATGACACCTGATTAATTGGTGTAGAAGCTACAGGTAGTGTAATGCATAATCTTTCTGAAAAACAGATCTGCTGTCTTGAACAGCCTTTGATATCTTTTGACATTAGCTGCTGGGTCCTGCACATGGCTATGCCCAAGCAGTCTTGGCTGTTGATGTTTGGAGTTTGACTTCTGTTGCTCAGTGATGAGTTCCCATCTTTCTGGAGCAAGGCTTAGCTCTTTTCTCAGGACTAGTCTTAAACGATAAGGAGTCATTGTCAGGTGGAAAAGGATTTAAGAACAAAGAATTAGTCTTAAAATATGAGGAGGGACTTCTTGATTAGGGAGGCTACCAGTCAATTAAACCATGTTCTGGAGAAATGTCAATTGTGTTTCTACCTTTTAACAGCTATGTTCACTAAGTGGAGAAGCCAGTGTGTTTGCAGTTTTCTATGGGGCAAAAAGTTCCGTTAGGTGTTTAATCTCCATTTTAAGGATCAAGTACTTGAAAGTCATCAGATTTGTTTCGCAAACCAATACTTTAGTTAAACTTTGCTTTAAAAATTAGAATAGTAGCAGTTGGAATCAGTCTTTCTGAGAAGGCACCTTAGGCTCTTAATACAACTCGCTGTGAAAAGGAAATATGAAGACGAATGCCATGTTCAAGTGTTTAAGTGCATATTTGTAAACTTAAGCTTTGCTCAGTGAATGTGGGAATTTTCTTCAGCAAATAAACATGAAAAAATGAAACCCTGCTTCTTAAGGAAGGTAGTCAGGAATTGTCATGCTTCTACTTGGTTGGGTGGAATTTCTCCATTTCACAACTTCAATGTACCCTAAGCTAAGAGCAAGAGTTAAACCTCACACGGCTTCAGCATCTAACAGTAAAAATAGCTCGTGAGCCATAATAGCGTACACGAGCTACTCCTCCTTGCCTAAGCCTGTTCAAAAAACTTTAAAAAGGACAACTTCTTTTAGTTTGGTCATATTTACAATATCCTATTAAGGATTTACCTAATGAGATCTTTTCTCCCGAGTCTGCTGGTAGCAGGAAAACTAACAAAGCAAGTGCAGAAATCAGAACACAAGGTATAAGAAGATTGAGTCCGTAATAGAGAGTCCTGCGTCTCATAGTTACTGTGAATGTTACATCTGGGTAGGGTTCTTTACAGCATTCATAAAAACTCTCAGTTCTCTTCCCAGGAATTCCTGTGTTAGGAGGGAGAAGCAAGAAAACCAGAAATTAATGTAAATAAACTTTATATTATGTAGTGATTATTTTAAAAAACAATACATGTAGCTTTTAAAGTTTTACTATGGGTAAAACTACTTCTTTAAGCTTACTTCCCAATTAAGTAATCTTTCTCAAATAACAAAGGAAAATCAGATAAAAAATACTGAATTCAAGCAGCAATTTTGTCACCTACTTTTTAATGTGGAGTTTCATCTTACATCTGCTCTCAGAATTTCAACTATTGCTAGCTAGACTATTTATTAATTTGATTTCTGTCTTCATTTCCCAATCATTATTCCATCCATTTCGGCAGTGGAGACAAGGCTGCAAGTTCTCAGTGTAAATAAGAAATCAAGAGCTTACCTACTAAATCCCACTCTCCATTTGAGATATAGCCTGATATATCTGCTTCTTGCATTTGTAAGTCCAAGGACCAGCCGCCGTAAGTCCAGGATCCAAACTTCAGGTTACACTTCTGCACATCAAATGGAAACCAGCGGACATCTATGTAGCATGAGCTTTTAAAAATGCCTAGAGGGGATTTTAAACAGGAACACTTAATTTAAATGCTTGCTCCACGTAATTTCCTGCACATTTTGAAACCGGACTTTGTTCTACATCGCGCCCTTTGTTTTTTACTTGTAAAGCATATTTAATCTCAATTGCGTCTTGGCATGTAAATAGCAAAAGTCAGGCATAGAGAAAGGAAAGAACTGCACCACCAATGTACTGATGTTATAAACTATTTTTGAACTACATTTCCATTTTGGAGTACAGTGGGAGAATATCTAGAGAGGAGCTCAGATTTCTAGATACTGTATTTCAAAAGAAATGAAGCAGAATCTGCAATCTGCTTTTCTTATTTCTTCTACAGAATAATATGATAAATCATGAAAGATTATTTGCTGTCTTATTAGATTTACATGATTCTGATTTATTCAGGAAAGCTAGCTTCTTATTTTTCACTTGCTGAGTCAGGCCCTGTGTCATTTAGCAGCATTCAGAATTGAATCAAAACCAAATGGAACATCTTAAAAAAAAATAGAGTAACAGAGAAGCCCTTGAAATCTTCTGGGGATTTTAGATGGAAAAACTGATTTGTCTGGAAAGCACTTAGCTCTATTGCTGTAGTTTCTAAAAGAAAAGTAAGAGTTAATTCTAAGAATTATGCTAATTGAGTTGGGAGCAGAGACAATGCTCCACTGCTACACATCCAGTGGTACATTTCTGATACCAAATAAATATCAAACACAGACTACATCCCTTTCAGACTAAAACTTGTTTTGGTGAAGCATCCAGTGAATCATTTCAAGTAGAAGATACATCAAAGATGTTACTAAGCATCTTATTGTAAAGAATAACTTATTAATAGAAGAAACAGCTAAATTTATGAAATAACTTTTTATTAAGAGGCATTACCATGGCTTAATTTAACAATATTTTTTAATATTAAGTGCTTTTATTTTTAATCTTCTTTTATACTTACTACTTGAATAATGCATTGTGACAGAAGAATTTACAGAACTGGAATAAGAATGTATCTTGTATGGTGGTTATCATACAAAAGTGTTAACTGTGTAGTTCGTGATTCATCTAGGCTTAAATCTATCAGATGCTGCTAGCTAGATAAATAAAGAAAAAAAAATCAGAATTGATGTCAAATTTGAAACCATGCCATACATAAGTAGTCTGAGTTAGCGAAATTTATGACGGGAAAGCAGCCTACCTGGTGGCAGATATTGGCAATGTCCTGAAGAATTGACTAAAACATTGGTGTGAAATGTAGCATCAAATCTTTCATCAGCACTAGAACAGGGAAGAAAGAAAATGAGTTATGCTCTTTGGCTGCAGAATATTTGAGATTAATCTGTTCTTCATAAAAGGATTATTTCTCCCCAAAAACTTGACAGCTTTTCTCCTGTTGCCAGTTTCTGTGGCCTCAGAGTCACTAGCCCGATACTACTGGATTTGTTCCTGATTAACAGCTGTAAGTGAAGGTGAGCCAGCACATCCTCGCTGCTCGCCTATCCCACTACATTCATTACAGTGCCTTGGCTCTATTGATTTCCGTTTGGAAAGTAAGCACTTCTAAAAAACTTGTCAAGCAGCTGTACAGGGAAATCTGTTCTCTCGCTGTCTACAGTAACGGCAGCTAATGAATACAGAGGAGATGGCGACTCCAGTGTCTCATCCTACCCCTCTACAGGGGTGAACATTATTACTACATGTACATAAGTCTTTAGTGCAGCTCCAGCCTTCATTATCTACTTCAGAACCCATAAACTGGGTTCAGAAGAAAACCAAACCAAAACACAACAATAACAACAAAAAACCCCACATGCAAAAACCACCCCAAGAACCAGCCCTAGCAGAGGTGTCAGTATAGTGGTGCCGGCCAGGACTGCCCTGATGTGCTCTTCTTACTAGTCTCTAGAAAAGATTCATAATGTTACTTGGAGAATGGTGCTGCCAAGGAATATCTGAACTACACCTGATATGATGACCCAGGAATTTACTAGGCATTAAAATTTTAAGAACTTCTAGATGGAAAATAACAACCTATTTTCAAATACTTAGGTTATGAAATAAAGACTTTCCTTTTATTTTTGTAAGTTTAAAGACTTAAATCACTCTGTGAAAGATGTTTAGATTATTTAGCATTGCAATGGATATATACTCGTATATTCACAGAACATTAGGAGCTGGAAGGGACCTCAAAAGCTCACCCAGTCCAACCCCTGCCAGAGCAGGATCACCAGACCAGATCACACAGGAACATGGCCAGGCAGGTTTTGAATGTCTGCAGAGAAGGAGACTCCACAACCTCTCTGGGCAGCCTGGGCCAGTGCTCTGTCACGCTTACAGTGAAAAAGTTCGGATCTATACATCCTTTAAGGTTTGGGACCCAGGTATTCAAGAAGATGTCACAGTTATTGAAATGAGCGCCTAGGTTAAATTGCATAGAAAGTACTGGGAAGATGGTTGCTATTTCAGGAACTGCTGTACTAAGTTCACGTCTGATGGCTGCTGGCCCTAATTACAGACATAGGCTCCTTTCTTGGGCTTTCCTTCATGCAGGGGATAAGCAGAATGAGTAGCACAGGCTACTGCACTTTGTTGTACCACTTGTAGTTTCCAAACAGTCACCTTGTGGGGATGGGTTGGCACACAAGGCAAATACAGTGCCAGCCGCTCTGGGGCAGGGTGAAGGAGGTCACACAAGCCTCAGGGTCTGGCTCCTTGCTGCAGTCTGGGCTTTTGTACATCTGAAAACTCGTGCTGTCTCTGTGATGATCTGAATATGACAGGTCTCCATCGTCTCTTTGCTCATTAGTGGTTTAGTAGCTCATAATTTTCTAATCCCCTTCTAAAACATTATCAGAAAAATACAGTAAGAATCTGAGATGGGGAGAAAATTAAATATTCCTAATTCTAGCAGAAAGAAGGATCATATACAAACACATTCATACATGTGCTTAAGTCCCATTAGAGACCTTGCTTTGACTTGAAATTAATAAATGCTACATGATGAAACTCAAACAAGTAGGATGTAAAAATATCCATGGCACACAAATTACCTGTGAAGTGGAAATAAAATTCTTAGTCTCCTAGGCTAAATTCTGTTCTCTTCCCCTTGAGCAGAGGGCAGTTAAGCACTAGAGGGTTGCTTCGAAAACCTTGCTGCTGTTTCTGGTAATTGGCAAAAATCAAATTTTCAGAAGGACACGAGTGATCAAGGAACCTAGGTTTCATTGCCATGTGACTCTGCTTTTCATAAGACACATTCTTAAAAGAATATCAAGAGGTACTCAGACTCTAATACTAAATTCTTTTTTTCTGAAAAGGAGCATATATGTTTTCCTACGCAGCGCTTCTAATTGTTTTCTGAAAGGCAGTGCTTCAACTGGGAATGCACCAAGTAGCTAAGCCTTTGATGACACTTTGTGCTAAATGCAATGATAGAAAACCATTTCTGCTACATTTTGTCTTCAGGGTATAACCACTTGAAAACAGATATTGACTGCAGTACATTGAGATGACAGAGCTGTACCTAGCAGATGTAATCCCACTGGGACCTATCTGGAGAATCAGAAGTTTATAAAAGTAGAAAAATGGAACTGTTAAAATGAGACATAACTACCAGAATTTTTGTTTTTTCATGAAATACTGAATACCGTGTGGTAAATTGTTGGAAAATAATACCACCAGAAATGAGCACTTCCAGTAAGTCCAGTAAAACTCAAAAAGTGGAAGAGAGCCATACATGGCACTAACGCAGTCAATCCTGGAATTTGTGCATAGGCCACGATTGTCTTCCCTCAGAAAAGCTACGTACAAACTGGCCCCGTCTCTTCGCGATAGACTGGTTGTAAAGTTTAATACAGCTGTCACAGGTTTCTCTATATGAGACTGCAGCAAGATGTGTAAGGATACAAGACATAGTGAAACATGCACTCATCAAAATGAAATATTAATTTATAGTTCATTAGTTTTCTTTGTATCTGCAGATCAATGTCCCTAGTGAGTGTATAGAAACTGAAACCATCTATCTCAAGATACAATGTCACTGTAAAAGAACACTGTGAAATTCCCAGTGCAATTTCATGCAGGAATAAGGATTTGTTTTAAATAGCTTTTGTCTCTGACTAAACTCTGAGTAAGATCTTGGATTAAATATGTGTTCAAAATAGAAACACTGTAGAATAACTACTTCATGACTGTACTATAGTTAACGATCCCAAGATCCAAAAACCTGTATTAACAGAAAAATAGTGTTTTCAGTTTTTCAGGTTACCTTTCTTAGTCTATAACGTGCTTCAGCTACAGTTAGCATGTATTAATATCACTATTCTCTTTAAAAGTTTCCCTTTCATGTTGGATATACTTACTTTAAATACCGAAGCACAAGTCCTCAGAGACACACAGTCTCTCTCAGATATGTGATATATATAAGGAAGAATATTCCTAATTCATGCTTTTGGAAACCTCTAAACTGCTGTTCTAGAGTAACGGTTTTATGGCATACACAGTGTGTCAATCAGCAGAAGAATAGAAATGAATGCATGATTTTTGAGATTCTCCCAAGAATGCTGTCACTTACAGAACCAAGGTAGCTAGGAATAAATGCTCAAGAGAACAAATTTGCATTGAAAAAATAATTAAGCAAGATTAATGTTGCAAAAATACCTGTCCAGGCTGCATGTTGCTCCATTTTGTGTACAGAGAATTTGAAAGGTTTTTAGGCTGGTGTATGGACAACTGAAGGGCTAATTACCATGCTTACACTAGAAACAAGAAGTAATCTTGACAGGCAGTTACTGTAAGTATGGTGAACTCCAGTGGAGATACCTCAAATCATTTACCGTTAATTGTGCCTTTGAGAGAAGCGCTGCAGCATGCTGTAAGCAAAGTGGTAATGTGGGCCCTAGAGAGAAGTACTAAGTGGCTGACAAATGCTGTCACTGAGTGCTGCTATCACAGCATTACAATACAATAATACCTGTGGCAGTGACATTGATCATAAAAGTGATCATCAAATGGCAAGAGGGAGTGTAACTGCAGCTGACACATTGGGTACAGCTATTCTCTAGGTCTTGTTGCAAAAAAAGAGCAGCTCCTGAAGTGGGGACAGGGAATCAGGTTGATAAACACAGCAGGGTTGTCTTCTTAGTAGACATATGGCAGAGAAACAGAGGAACAAAGTCATCAGGAAGACAAAAGGCTCACGTCATCTGTGTGGGCAAAAAATAACATATCCAGCTTTCCACAAAAGAGCCAGCACAACGTGTACAAAGCAGATGTAAGGTCTTTCCAGTACGTGGGGAACAGCACACAGGCCCACAACAACTCCTGAAAAAGGCGAGTTGTTCAAGAGCAGACAGCTCTTGGTGCTTTATCTTTTCAAACGAAATAAATTCCACCATGGGAACTATCATATAATCACAGAATCGCTCGGTTGGAAAAGACCTCTGAGATCATCATGTCCAACCGTTCCTGCCTACCCCCTAAACCATATCCCTAAGTACCTCGTCTACCTGCTCTTTAAATACATCCAGGGATGGTGACTCCACCACCTCCCTGGGCAGCCTGTTCCAGCTTCTGACAACCCAATGGTGCAGCCAAAGAATCCCCCAACGTAAGCCAATGGTTCTGCAGTGGATTGATGGCAATCTGTCTGTCCATGAAATAAGCCCAACTCAGAATAGATAGTTGGAAAAGGAGAACAGCAAATATTCTGGCTACTTTTGTAGCAGGAAGAAAGAGTGACACCAAAACTGGACATGGGAAAATACAAACATACATTCTGTCATTTACCTATCCTGCCTCTAGTGAAACCAGAACTAAAACTAAACAAGCAGTCAAAAGACAGGTTTTAATTCACCAGTAAACTTTAGGCCAAATAAATAATTTAAGAGGAAATTATCACTACTTGTGCATTAAACACAGCCAGAAAAGTTTAGTTTTCTAATAATCTCACAAAACCTAACTAGAATTGGTGGTAGGGAGAATGTCGTTGTTTGCAAAGTATTTGCAATATGACCTTCTGTTGTGTAAACAGAAGTATTCCAAAAACCTATAAAGTCAAAAACCTATAAAGTTTGGGAAAAGTATTTCAAAACCTAGGCATTTTGATGAGGTGATTGTCATTTGCCTTGCCTTATTTTTGCAACTGGCCAGGGTGTGCTGGGCAGTCTCATCTAGGCCCCCTTTCCCACAAAAGATTGGACCAGTTGATCTTTTGGAGGTCCCTTCCTACCGGGGCTATTCTGTGATTCTATAATTCTACGATCTTCTCTCCTTCCCCACATTAATCAAGTGTATCTACCTGTTATAGAGAAGAATATCTGGCTTCCAAATCAACCCATCAGGAAAACGGACGGTCTTCACTCCCGGGTATTCAGACACGTTCCACTGTAGATAATGATCTGTCCAGTACTAAGACATACACACAAAAAGTAAGTTAGCTCATCTCATCTGCTGACTTAGTGTAATTTTCCAGGTACTGGATAGCCTGAAACAATAGGTGTTCTTTTGTCAAAGAGATACTATTTAGCTTCAGGCAGTGAAATATTTGGAAAAGGTGAATTAGGCCACCTAGAGCTCACAGCATAAAAATCTAATTTTCAATTCACTGCAGTGCACATAACAGCCTATAAAAGAAGATCTGGGGTGCCTGTAAATTTTATTTATTATTTCTTGTTCATGCTGTCTCAGGTGCCAATTTGAGATAGAACATTTTCTTTTACAGTTCATACATAAACTCCAATTATGTTTCTCTTTATAGGCAACTTTGTTTTCTGTTGTTGGAAATTCTGAAGTTGTAATGATTTGATTATAGACAGAAGGTAGAGCAGCCAACAGTCACTGCTGATGGGGAAAACAACCGAAATGGCAGGACGGTTACTGCTGGTACAGAAGCTCTTAGCAGCTCCTGTGGCCTGAACTAGGCAACCTGGGAGGCAGATACTCAGCAGCACTGCACTGGGGCAGCAGTCCATAAGCTTCCTTCCTGGCTGGCTCTTACTGCACTGGAGGCACCTGCCCTGGTACTCTCCAAGTGCCCTTCAACCCATCCTTCACTGCTGGAATAGGCAGAGAGTCTGTCTCAGTCAAACCAACTAAATCCCAGGTACTGCCATTGAAACATGGTCGTGCAGAGTCATCAACATGAGTGCTGCCCCAAACTGCAGGCAGCTGAGTACCATGGCAGCTCTAGCAAGCTGGTTGCCTCCCAGTCTCCTGAGAAACACTAGTATGAGCTACTGTATTTTCCTGAAACAGAGGTTGCACTTCACCCCTTACTAAGCAGATGATTTGTTGGGGATACAAGTGTGGTTACTGTTGTGTGCAAAAGGTATAAATAGGAAATAAAGTTCATTTTGTCTCACAAAATTTATTTTTTCTTATAATTTCTATGCTTCATTATATTGTGCCTCTCTCTGCCCCCATATTATGTTATTTACATAACTTTACATAGGTGTAGGCATCATATAACTTACGGTGAAAACTTTCTCAGACTTACGGTGCTATTGCAATGCCAAATGTTAGTCTTTTAAATGTAAACTTTGAAATGGGTGAGTAAATGTACGATACTTTTCCTTTCAGCAGTCTAGTGACCCTTGTCAAAATCTCTGACAGACATTATGGTCAGAAAATACTTTTAAGGAGTACTGTGGAGGTAATGTTATTGATCATTCTTATGGGGTATTCACATCAAATATTCTATATAATTCCTTGCGTTGCTGTCACAGGCAAGTTTCAGTTTGATACACCAAACAAGTCCCCAGTCAGCCTCACACTGCACGTATTCAAGCACATTCTTGTACCTCTAGAACAGCGTTTGTAATTGGCCGTATTGCTGCACGCAACACATCTAATAGCACTCATCACACACTTTCTGTAAAGCTTTTACTTATACAATTTCTTGGCCTGCACTTCCATGTTTATCCCATTCATTTATTACTATGAATTTTTAGCACCTTGTCACGTGGACAAATGACCTGAGTTGTGCACTGCTGTTTCCTTTTGCTTTACAGATAATAGTTTTTTACAGAAATCTTAAAGTATAATGTCTAATCAGCAATGTTCACAGGTTTGGGGTTTTTTCCCACTGCCTGCTGCATTCACAGTTCTCTAATTAGACTGTGCATTACTCACACTCATCTATACACAGCTTCTATAAGCTGATCCACTGCTTCTCTTCTCTTCTTTTTTTTTTAGAAATTTTACATCCATATTTACAGTAAATCGCTCCATATGAACTTCTTGATAGACAAATGTCACTGTATTTTCTACCACTTCATTTTTGTGGAATGTAGAAATACTGAGCTCTTTATGGCACCTCTATTTGTTGTAAAGTCCAGCAATGTGTAGTTTTGAGGCATTTAAACCTGTGAGCTCTTGTTGGCTTTAGGTGACTCCTTTGGGAGGTGACAGAACAGGTCGCTTTCTGAGTAGCGATTGCTGGGCTGAGGCTGGCAGGCTGCGGGCAGCTGCCCCAAAGCTTGCTGCCCACTGTCTTGGTTGTGTGCAGCAGGCTCTTCTGTTTATTTCCATCTGAATTGCATTACAGTAATAGATATCAATATATCCAATTTTATTCTAACTTATTTTAGGAATTGTTACGAATGATACGATGTAGCATAGGGCGCCACTGAATGATGTAAAGACAGTCAAAGGGTGGCAGAAAACTGAATACTGAAGTCTGTATTAATGTTAAGCAGATTGTACAGTTGTTCTGTTTAGCCATGTGTACAAAGTGCTTACCCAGCCAGCTGGACACAATCTGCCTCTTTTTGTTTTAACTTTAGAGCTACAGTCTCTACTGCAGCTGAACTACATTCGATGCGGATTAAAATAGCAAAAACAGCTCAGGGTATCTGAGTATCTCCTCTTCCAGGAGATAATAAGCCTCTCTGGAACAGTTTTTCCCTCTGTATCAGGAAGAACCATCTGGCGATTTTCAGAGTACTGATTAGAAGAGCTATTACAGAGAAAATGTGTTTCTTGCTTGGATAGTTCTCTTTCACAACCAAACGATTTACCACAACATGATGGATTGGTTGAAATGGGTGATAAGGCACTTGCACCTACAGTTACTCTACCTGGGCCTCTTAGGACACCGGTACCTTAAGACAATCAAGAGATTAGCAGAACTAAATCAACTGCAATGAGTTGGCAACTTACTTAGATAAGTAACTCAAAGTACTAGTGACTTAAATTCTTAAAAGTTTTCAGAAATACCTGAAACAGCATCAAAACTAAATCACATCCTTACAGTATTCCATTTAGCTTAGCTTTGTCCACGATGTAGCAAGAGACAGAACAAAAGCTTGAAAGTTTCTTAAAATTCAACCCCCTCACCAGATTAAACTCAAAGACCAAAGGGGAGGGGAAGATGCTTTGTTTCAAAACTCACCATTTGTAACCAGATGTTTGTTGTTAATACTTGATTCTTTTCATCCTGAGAGGAAGGAGGAGAAGAAGAATTAAAAAAAAACAAGCCACAGCTTAGTACCATACAGTTAAAACAACACCGGTAAATATATTTTATTGGTATGAAGTAGCCAGTTGTGCTAAGGTACCTTTTAAGGCACAGGGAATAGTTGACTTGAACTTACTGCAATTTGTCACAGGTCCTTTTTCATGTATTTCCTATCACCGCAGCCAGTCAAATTTCTCTCTAGTTTCTGTTTCATCACCTCCATGAACCATACTTTTTCGAAACTATCATCTCAAGTGAACAGCTCGCTTAAATGGCATCATGGGAAAACAGGTCTCTTTAACTCTTTAGTCTCAGGAATACAGTATTAAGATGCATTGAATTGGCATGCTGAAGGCATTGCTGAAGGCGTCAGCCAGGCGAAGCAGTAATTAACTTGCAACAGTACCTGTTATTCTCTAGCCATACAAACATTAATTTGGTGCCTGTCTCAACAACCTCCTTATAGTGTTACAGCACAACAGAAGTAGTTTGCATAGGATCTTTAAATCATTAGTGAAGAAATAATCCTTAAGAGATCGTTCATATCACCATGAAATAAAGTCTATAGAGAAGTGTTGCAAATTAAGGATGTGTAAAATCAATAGATGTTTCTATTCATGGCCATTTTTAGATCAGATGTGAATACCACTAATGATAACTTATTAACAGTTTGGCAGCATTATCTCTGGACTCTGCATGCTGTCCCAGATGAACATGGCAAGTTCCTATAACACAATGTCCCATCTTTTTGCACCTGAGCAAAGCCAAGAGCACCACTGCTGTGTGGTTTCTCTGCAGGGCAAACAGTAGTTGTGTCGCTTTGCACAGGCGCAACCGGCTACTCAAAGGTGCAGAGCAGTTCAGTCTCCATTATGTTGTGGGAAGCTTTTTTCAGGACTGTTAGCTGAACAGTACGTAGAATGTATTCCTGCATGGTTAAATTCTGAGTTAAACGCACATTTTATTCCCAGTGTGATCTCTTTCCACACATGAATAGCCCCAGCCTTAGATTAGTGATGTTTCAAAAATTCCCTTTTCAGTAGCAGAGAAAGATTGTACTAGGAGCCTGGAGTGCTGCTGATGCTTAAGCTAATGATGCGCTGTGGGGATTTATTTTGAAGCCCTGAGCCCACAGCATAGTCAGATGAACTATTTCTGGAGTACCAGAAAGGAGCTCTACTATCAACCAGCACACATCGCAGAAGCAGGCTAGAGAGCCATCTCTGAGCAGTCAAACTAGCAGAGCTGAGGGGGACAGTAGACTTTTAATCCAGCTGTGCTGCTGGCAGAGTGATTCAGCTGCCTGCTACACTGCCAGGCAGCTGGGCACATGGCAGAGTCTTCACAGGTTGGCCCGCAGGAGACTCTGCAGACGTGTTCTGAAAGCCAAGAGTCATTCTGAAGTGTGATCTTTCACTCAAACCTAGCTTAAAGAGAATATTAACTCAAGAGTAGCTTGTACAGTGAAGACAAGCCCTAAGTGAAGATGAACTACGCTGTTTTCCTGGTGTTTGTTTCTGTTATTATAAGCATTTAGAGCCTGAAAGAGTATATTTGAACAAAGTAACTTCCCCTTGGGTCACTATATTTAGGGTTCCATCAGTCTTTGAATCATAAATCCCCATCATTGCTCCTCAGCTATAAAAACTTTGCTGCGTGCTGAGACTTGTTTTATAGTGGTGGTTTTCTTTAAAGTGTTTGTTGGAGTAGGTGGCTTCCAACATTTTAGTCATTATTGGCCTGACTCACCCATCACTAGAGAGAAGATTCTGATTTTAGATGGTTTGTCCCTCTCTGTGGTCCCAAGTGAAGGTGGTGCAAGATTGATCCTGCAGGATTTCTCCTGGCTAGGGGAGGTTTTTGGACACTGTCTTAAAAGCTTCCCAGCGAGCTGCATTACCACTGTTATTCATCAGAATTGTGCAGTACTTCCCCATAAAATGAGGGGTGGGCTTGAAGTGCTTTGTAGAACTTCACCCCTTTTTGTCACTTTACAATATTTTGTAACCACTTTCCTACAGTGTTGAACACAAGAGCAAAGCAGCTCCTGCTACAAACGCCTTCTTCTATAAAGGAGCAAAGAAAAGGGATTTGACAATATATTCTGAGATGCTGGGAAAATTAGTCGGAGAATGAGACCAGAAACTGTATCATGTTGTTTGGATTGGTGTGGTTTTTTCCTATACCAGCTCTTTAAGGTTACTTGCTGTTCAGAGAGTACTGGCCAAGTAGCACAGCTAATGAAGAGTTTGGTTCCGTTCGTGCAATGGGAGGTGGGTGGGAGGCTACTTCGGTCTGTTTGACAGCAGTACTAGATAACTGTAGTGATCTGTGAGGGCAGATGGCAAACTGCTACTGGACTGCTTATCACACTATTTTACAGCTGTGTAGTTAATTTGTATGGAAGGGAAAGTAGCAGACATCAGGAAGACTTGAATGGTCCTTCATTTTTGAAGGTAGAGGTAATAACTTCTGGAATTTTTTGAAGGGAATTGCACGGTCTCCATTCTTTCAGGTCTCATTTTTGGTTTTGCCTGTCTCTTTGATTTTAAAAAAGTCTATCAGACCTTTGAAAACACAGTATCAGGCTCTCACATTATCCTTATCTCACCCTGTGTTCAACAGATTATATAAAAGAAGAGATGAATATTTGACAATGTTTTGTGAAGGACATTAGCCTGGACATAACAGACTTTGTAAAGAACATTAGCTGATGTGCTCATTTAGTGTCCATGCAAGAAGTTATGCGCCAAAAAGCAAGAGGAAAAAGAAGTAAAATAAGCCTGTGTGCCTATCGATTGCACAGTGATGTGCAGCACCTAGCAAGAAACACATGCTTCCCAGAAGACTTGCATAAAGTCATGTCCTGACTAAAATCTGTCAGCTGTAATTCTTGTACTTCAAATCCAGATTCTTGATTTTTACAGGGTTGAATCTCACCTAAATTGCAGAAAAAGTAATGCCTCTTTGAACTGAGCTTCAATTACTATGAACCTTAATATAAGTTTGTATAAATATTTTAAGACATCCCTTATTATAGCAATAGTGCTAGGTTTCTGACTGGTACCTCACAGCAAGACTGAAGTTAATAGTTGTACTCTGAAGTTAAAAATAGGCTGGCAGCCAGTGAGAGACACATAAGGCACTCCCTATAAAGATTTTCATTTTTGTTTGCTTGAATGTCATTCTACTGAAACCAGCAGGTTAATCAGTTCGTTAGTTCTTAGCTCATTGTTTCAGCACTTGCTCATTAAACATTCTCAACATCCTCTGATCCACAATGTCAAATTACTAGCACCTAATGACGGGTTTTTTCCACATCATTTAAAACCCCGTTATGTTTAATTTTTCTTTCATGCAGCTTGGGGTTTTCTTCCTCTTCCTTTTTCGGGTCATGCACGGAGTTCACTAATCTATGTAAAGTGAAAAAGCCTGAATTCTTATAGGATTAGTACTGAGAGAATGGGCTGGAGGCTGAGTTAAGCACTCATAAAATGGCCAGTTGAGAAAAGATTGATGCTATTGCCATACTTAAGGCAGCCACAGTGTCAGGATGAATCTGAGCTCCACAAAACTTAGAGTCATGAAGGGGCTGGGCTTCCTCCATTCCTGCCCATTGTGCTGGTGCATACCAGCACTCTGTGAATCCACCCTCCAGGAGAGGCCAGAGCAGCACGCAGTCCAGCTTCACCCATCTGAAAACACCACAGCGACCTCGCATTCCTTATAACACTAAGTCAACATGGGGGACTATTGCAGCTATCCTCTCCTCATGTCCCAAGGTTAATGCTAAACTTTTGTATTAAAAGTGGCTCAAGGCTTCTTAGTGGTGCAGGCAAAATTGAATTTTGCTATCTCAGGGGTGAGGATAAAAACCAGTTACTTAAAAAAGCCACTCTGATGCTTCTGCAAGGACACTGAAATGAAAGCTGCAGCTGCTTGCCAAGGACTACCTCTAGTCATCCATAGGTGGAGGCTGTAGCTGCAGCAAGTCTGGATCTGAAAGACTGTAGCAGAAGGTGCAGAGTCAGGCTGCCCTGTGATGGGTGCACATTCATTACCCCTGAAGCCTTAAAGCATCACCTATGTTGTACCTGCCAAAAGGCAAGATTAATTAAAATGAAAAGTCAGATGGAATTAAGGAATGTTTGGGCGTTTTGCATACTAATAAAAAGCTACCTGAAGAGCTGGTTTTTTAGGCAACATAAAGATGCAGAAAAAGGCAGCGTACGGGATTCGTGAGACGAGAGGGATTTGAACTCCTGGTGCCTCTTTCCCACCTGACTTCCCTTTCACCACAAAAGAAATAGGTTAGTGTAGTTACCCTTCACTTCTCCAGTAGTCAGCAATATACCTTTTTATCATAGTAAAGTGTTTTTGATTCAGCTTATTGCACATTTTCCAATTATGCAGAAAATGCTGTATAAACAGGTATTACCGATGCATAAATAATAATAATCCATGATCCGGCATGTGAAGCTCAACACCAGGAACAGGCCACAGAATGATTCTGATTCCTTGAAAATAGATGAAAAAAGTGCAAAATGATGCAATTAAAAGTCAGAAGTGGAAAACATGAATTGTCGCTGTTTCACTGCATTTTTCTTGAGAACACTTCAAGTTAAACACACTTATTTGGTGTTCTGACTTCTGCTGTATCAGTGAGATTTTTAACTAAAAACAGAGCTCTGACAGCTATGACCTTATCTTGCAGTGATACAGCCTACTGCTGGGAAGCAACACTTCTTCAAAATTACAGCAACTGTTGCAAAATATTTAAACAGAGTTTAAGATGATGTGTTTTGCTACACAGCCCAGTCAGCAGTGTGCCAGTTCTGGCAGACTTAGCCTTGAGCTTGTGCTTGCCCTAGGCTAGCTCCCTTTATGTCAGCTGCTAACTTCCCCTGGTGCTGAAAACCTCCTGAAAGTTGGTCTTCTTTATTTTATACTCGGCACTTCCATGCTGCTAGTGACCTTAC